TAATGTAATGTTCAGCTTTCAAGCAATCAATGATCAAGTTTATTTCAATGCATTTTAATTTCGTGTTGTAAGTTTTCTTTAAATTGTGATCAAATTTACTTTCGTCCCGGAACGATCGAAAAAAGGCGGAAGGTAGTCTAGCGGAGCAGACTACTGCCGCACGGAGTCCTTTTCTGTGCTAAGAAGAAAGGTAACCCGTGAAACGTGGGAAGGTTTGGAGAAAGGTAGGTTGTTGTTTCATCAAATGCCTGAGAGAAATAAATTTGCATGGACCATAATGATCGCGGGGTATATCGAGAATGGGTTTATTAAAGAAGGTTTTAGGCTTCTAAATGAAATGGCGTCTCTCTCTCTCTCTCTTGGCCATTTCCAAATTTTACTGCTCTTTGGGTCTGAGAAGAATGGAGAATGCAGAAACAGATGTTATTGTATTTATAGCTTTGCTTGATATATATGTAAAATGTGGAAGGAATAACTCTGCTTTTCGGGTTTTTCAGTCTATGCCTTCAAGGAATGGAAAGGGGACTGATGTCTTGATGATGTTCGATCAGATGGTAAAAGAGGTTAAACCAGATTATGTCACCTTCATAGCCCTGTTAGAAGAAGCAGATGCAGAGATACGGGGTATGACCATGAGTCCAAATGAGATTGTGCGAGCCTATAGGTTTTGTAGTGTTCATAGGAAGTTAGAGCTACGCGAACGTCTTAAGCAAGAGCTGGTTCAAATGTATCCACAGAACACGGAGTACCATGTCTTGCTCTCGAACGTGAAGGCTCAACCAGGCACGCTTGAAATGGCTGATTCTCTACGGAAGGTTCTTAAAACTCGGGGCATCGGAAAATTTCCCCGAATTAGTTCTATGCATATCGGTGGCAAAGTTCTTCATTTTAGTCCAGGGAACAAGTCACATCCTTAGAAAATTAAGATTGGCCGGTTATTGGACAGCCTCAACTGGATGCTTAGATACATCTTTGTGGTTACTTTCTTGTTTCAATTTGCACAGCAGCTACCACAATGGTGCCCTTTCGAACAAAGTAGTTTGTACCTAAGTCACCCGAGGTAGATACTTTTTGACCAATAGCTAGCTAGCGATATGAGCACATATTACATAATGACCTTATTGATTTAAGTCCCCGTTGTTTAAAATTAATTTCTCATACTCATTTCAACTACACATTCAAACAATACAATATTCTATGCGTAAATTCAAATTTTTTCCTTAAAACTATTAAAAACTATGTTTTTAAAATTTGAAGGCAACCAAACAGGGGCTAAGAATTGTATGTAGCCGGCTAATGCTAATCTTATTTCTTGCTGCATTGGTGTGATGGAAGGAGAAAGTCTATGCTGTCATAATTATCTTGGTTAATGATTTGCTGCTAAAGATCCTTCATTAGTTCAAAAACTAAAGGAAAGAAAGTAAAAAGAAATGTTATTGATAGAAGATTAAGAGTGTGTTTGATGGATATTATTTAGAAAATAATGTTTTTTAAATAGTGATATGATGGGAAATATGTTAAAAAAAAACAAGGAAACGTTATTAATGAAAAATATTATTTTATTAAAAAATGTGTGGTTGAAAGTGAGTTTTGAAAAAAATTTATTTTGAAAGAATGTACGTCAAACAGGGACTCAAATACCATAAAACATTAACCACCAGAATTAATGATAACTAGAGGCAACCCACATTTTCCTGGAGCCATCAGCCTTATGCCCACATCTATTATAAATAAATTATATATTGTTATATCAGAAAGTGATAAACTGGGGATGTAGCTCAAATGGTAGCGCGCTCGCTTTGCATGCGAGCGGCACGGGGTTCGCTCCCCCGCATCTCCATTTTATCTTTTATTGTGCTTTCATACGTTTTGTCCCTCCTTACTTAATCTTTTAATAGAATATATATGTGTATATATATATATTAAATCTAAATCATAAACATTGTGGGGATGTAGCTCAAATGGTAGAGCGCTCGCTTTGCATGCGAGAGGCACGGGGTTCGATCCCCCGCATCTCCATTTTATCTTTTATTGTGCTTTCATACGTTTTGTCCCTCCAAAAAACTGAAATGCAGGATATGAAATAAAAAGAATCAAATTGAAGGTAATACTAAAGTTACTAATTTCTCTCTCTCTCTTTCTTTTTTTCCCCTCCAATGAATAATATTGTTTTATTATTCGAAGTTGAATAACTTTCTTGACCTAAAAATAAAAAAAAATGATTAATATTTAATTACCTCGTTTGAGTCTTTGAGGTAGAAATTTAATTTATTTTTCAATATCATATGTATTTTTCAAACCTCTTTTCGAATTACGATTCCATAACAGTTGAGTAAGTGCGAATTAGCGACAACACGAGAAGGTAAACATTTTCAGTTTTAAAAATAAGATCCAATCAGTTAAAAATTAGCGTTAAAAATGAAAATTCTCAATTTCCCTATTTGGCGGGAGTGTGATCGACCAAGTTTTAGCTGATCCAATGAACTCGCCCTCACCTTCGGATTCGAAACTGTAAAACTGCCATCTATCTCCTGAAAAACTAGTAATTCTAGTAATAAATTTGGGTGTCCACTGGACAACCTTAATCAAAGGAACGCAAAAAATGTCCTACTATCCTAAAGGCCACCGTGATACTGGCGACAATGTTGACGATTTCAATGAATTTGATCCCACCCCTTATGGAGGAGGATACGACATCGATTTGACGTACGGCCGGCCGATGCCGCCGTCTGAGGTAATTTGCTACCCCATCACCTCCTCTGCTTCTGATGGGATCAACTATGACCGCCCACAATATAACTCCCATGCTGAACCCTCTGCATATGCTGATGAGGCTCTGGACAATGAGTACAAGAGTTATGCCCGGCGGAAGACTAGACCCGACCAGAATTCGTATGGTGGTGGTAGTGGTGGGGTTGGAGGAAACAGACCTGGAGGAGGATCCGGCTATGGATCCGGGTATGCAGGGAAGACTGAGTATGAGAAGCCTGAATCAGTACATGGTGGACCTGGATATGGCCGGAAGCCCGATTATAATATGGCCACTTCGGAAGTTGGATCCGGATATGGTCAAAAACCCGAGCCAACCTCGGATTATGGATCTGGCTATGGGCACAACCCCGAGTATGAGGATCCTAGTTTGGGATCCGGGTATGGAAGGAAGAGTGAATACGAGGAGCCCACCTCAGAATATGGATCTGGGTATGGGCGGAAATCAGGGTCCGAGTATAGTGGATCGGAGGGATTTGGGAGGAAGAGTGAATACAAGGAGCCCACCTCGGAATATGGATCTGGGAGGAAATCAGGGTCCGAGTACAGTGGATCCGAGGGATTTAGAAGGAAAAATGACCTCGAGGAGACAGGTTCTGGATATGGGTCTGGGTACGGGCGGAAGATTGAATCTGAAGAGTATGGATCGGGTGGGTATGGAAAGAAGAATAGCCACAGGGAAGAGGAGCGTGGTGGTGGATATGGGTCAGGGTACGGACAAAGTACTGAGTCCAAAGAGTATGAATCGGGTGGATATGGGAAGAAGAATGGCTATGGGGAAGAGAAGAGTGGTGGAGGATACGTATCGGGTGGCTATGGTGGGAAGCCCGATAGGCAGGAGTATGGTGAGGAGAGTCCCAAGTATGGAAGGTCGAGTTATGATACTGAGGATCATGAAAGGCCTAGTTATGGAAGGTCCGAGGAAGATGACTACAGGAAGACAAGCTATACAAGGCATGACGATGATGACAAGGACTATGATCATAGAAAATATGTGAGTTTCTTTCCAGTTCTTGATTTTCGTGAATTCTATGCATAGACAATATAAAGAACGTTATTTTTATGAGTTTTGCTACACAAACATAATGTTTGACATAAAGAATGACACAATACACATACATGAGGAGGTCGACATTATTTAATTCAGATCGGGACCCACATGAAATGTGAGTGGTTGGTTAACCTCTATGTCAAGCATTATATTCATTTAGCTTAATTATATTTTTATACATCATTCCTTGACAATGTTAATTGATATTCAATTCTCTCAATCAAATATAATATCAATGTTCCTGCGTTTGCTTCACTAATCCTAGGATTTAATTAGTTCCTATCTTGAGCATGCTTGTAAATTTTTGTTTCTGTTTATCTAGTGATAATCGAATTTGAACGTTCTTAAAGGAAAATGTGTTTGCCCACACAATCAGAATTCACGTTTTGGCTTAGTTTTCACTTGTTTATTAATCCGTGATGGCATTGAGTGAGTGGCAGAATAGATGCTTATTAAACGATCAATTATAACTTTTTGTTTTAGTTAAAATCACTTATGTAAAGCGAATATTAGTCAATTTTTAGATTACAGTACATCATAATTTTTCTGTCCCTGTGATCTCGAATGGCAGAAAAATAATGATAATTCTGATGAGGATGAGGACGAGGAGGAGGAGGAGGAGGAGGAGAAGAATCGCCACAAGTCCCACCATCACCAAAAGAAGCACTATGATGAGTAAACAAAACACTCATTTCTTCGAGCAGGATGAAATAAAGAGTTCGGCATTTTTATTTATTTATTATTATTATTTTTTTGTTCTAAATGATATTTATGTTATGTTGAGTTCTTGGCATATTGGATTTGTATCGACAAAATAAAGAATAAAAATCCCATATATATAAGGGATAGTATTTTTTGCCCCCATAAATGCAAATGGCCTCAGTGTGTTCATATTGTTCAGTTATAGAAAGTGCCCAACCATTTGAAAAGTATGTTCGTAGGGATGTAAAACGACAATGAGGTTAAAATCATATTGTTCAATTTTTAAACATACATTCAAAGTTCATGGAATAATGTGGCAATGGCAACTTACATAGAGAGAGAATCATTTAGACTTTAAATGAATAATCATTACAAATTTTTGTGACAACAGGTAATTGTTGGGTTTATTTTAACTTTTCCGACAATGATCCATTTAGTTCATATTTTTATCTTTCATCAAACGTAAAAGTATATTATTTAGCACACATCAAACTATTATTTGACGAGATGTGTTCTTAGAGTTCTATTCGTTGTTATTTGAACGTATATTTACCCAGACCAATCAATAGTTCAAGTCAAATACTCATAATCCATTTTCTCTTCGGAGAATTGGATTATGTAATTGATATTACCTATAGATTGTTGTTCAGACAAATTTTAGTAAATTAACAAATTAAACTGAACCTTGTCACTATATGTTAGTACAAGTTTAGAGTTAGCTACATGAATAATTTTCTCTCACCCCATTCAATTCATCGTTAAATCTACTAAAAAAAGAATTATAGGAATTGCTTTTTTTCTAATGGTAATGCCTACTCTTAATTGGGCAGGTTGGAGAATGAACACTCGAACCACGAAAAATACAAGGCATTTAAGTCAGTACCCTTGCCATTTAACTACGATGACAAAACTGTGCAATGAGATTTTTCGGGTACCGGTAGCACAGAAGAGATAAATGTACATAGGAATCCTCAACAGTACAGAATTAAAATTCATCCTCTGAAAAATATATTCACAAATTTTATTCAAGGAATATGCAATTGAATCAGTGCTAAAGTCCAACATTTTATTTGCAGCTTATTGCACACCGTGCGCGAGAACTAAGTGCTATCATTCAGCATCTATAGTTGTGAACATATTATTCGACAGGAAGGGATCAATATGCAACCAAAAAGCTACACTTCAAATAGGGAACAATGTCTCATTTGCAAGCTACGTGAATCAGTTTTCACCACTCAGTCATGGTCATAATAGAGATTACCTTTTGAAGACCATGTATGCGGTCTACCCAATGCTACGTGCAGCGGCGTGCATAATAGATTGATATGAATATCATGAGGTATCCCAGAATAAAACTAGCTGTTGCTGATACCTTAGAACTGCATGCATCTAAAGCACCTTTTATAGCATATCTCCACTTGACAGAACGAGAATGCCTATTCTTGATCCTTGTAGAGCGAAAGTGGGACTAGAGTGGATCTGCACGGATTTCCTAATAATATACGTAAATGCCTTGTTTTTGGTAATAGATGAACATTACCTGGACCAGTTCCCACTTCATAATCAAGCATAACATAAAGAAACTGCTCACTTTTATCTTAATAATGAAAAGGCAGGGCTCACATTGCAGCAAGAGTGCTCTGGTATAAATCTATAGATTCCTCCCAAGTAACAAGGTTGCCTCCTGGAATGAATACCAGCATATGTTGCGTTTGTCTGAACGTGGGCAGTATGACAACATAGTACTCGAGATTTGCATCCCATTCATTAACTATTCTTTTGAGAGTTTCAGTCGTGAAGAAGGGCTGATGGACAGCGAGTTCTGTAAAAGATAGAAACAACAATCCCCCAGTTATTTTCGGAATTTTAACACGAGTAAATGAAATATGCAGAAAATGTCNTTAGGTATTGTTCCTCCAATGATCGTAGTACCAAGTACTTCTTGGCGCGCTATAATATGATCAGATTTATAAGGAAGCATCTCTTGTAAAATATGAGCAACACCAAATCCTTCTAGAGCCCAAACCTCCATTTCTCCTAGTCGTTGCCCCCCTTGTTTTGCCCTTCCTCTAAGGGGTTGTTGTGTAACACATAAACTAATAAAAGAGAAACACCACATGATCCACAAGTGAACTGTGAAAGCCCATTGAGAACTTACATTAGATATATAAAGAAAGACCATGAGAAATCAGCTTCTTTGCATTTCCGGAAGAATGATGACCAAGTACTTTCCTATGTCCATCATCTAGTCACTAAATTCACTCTCTTGAGGTAAAATACTAAATCTTGTGTTCCATCACTGGTCAGGGCAACGCAGCACGGCTAAAGCTGTGCCAGTCTGGAGGGCTCCGCAGCCTGACAGGTCAGGGTATTGAAAAAGGAAAAGAAAACTAAGCAAGGAAGAAAAAAAGAGTGAAAGCATGTGGGACTGGAACGGGCAACAAAACAAAAAGGCCCAGTTTGCACCTCTTGCATAATCTCCCACTTAATTCAGTCTCTGAAGTGAAAGCTCCATCTTCACTGCCCCTCTCCTTTGCTAATTCAATTATTCTCTTTGCACCAAAAAACAGCAGCTTACAATTAACACGAGCCATATTGGTACATTTTAACCAAAATGACCCTTTAATGTAAGTATATTCATTATTTACAAGACAAAACAAGATGAACTTAAAGCAAAATTCCAAAACAAATCCAATGGACATAAAACGCACAATTTGAAAGACATGAATCTTAATGTGCTGAAAACTCATCCCCCTTGATACACAATTCACGTCACTGGTTTTTGTCCCTAAAACCTTAATGACATGTTTGGTTAACGTTACACAATACGATCGACAATATTTTAACTGCTTTATCTTGTTTAATCCTATCGAGACTCCTTGTCATCAAACAAGCCATGAGATTTTGAATATTAACTTGGCCCTATAATCAACTCAATCATTTTCTTCTATAATGTGTTATAGCTCACACAAGATGATCTCATTAGATATATGAGAAACAGGGCTCTATCAAAAAAATAATGAACTAAATAAATAGGAATATACCTAGGAGATTCTTATTATTTGATTCACCCCAAGCTCATTTGTTGACCCGTGTTGCACTCAGCAATTCCCATATCATATGAATTAAACAAATCCCATGACAAATTGGAATATGCCAAAGAGATTCTTTTAAACCACCAAACTTTACAAAAATCAGTATCCACTTATATGTTGTTCTACTTCAACCCATCTCACTACTAGAGACAACATCAATTTGATAAGAGTAAAATGACTCCTCCAACACTCTCTTCATCTTATATCCATACTTGGATTCCTATGTCTCCCAATATTTAATGAGCCCACATCGTAATTTTTCGTATACTTGTTAATCAACAAGTTAGGCTGCCTTAATCAACCTTCGTGCCCTAATTAAATTTCATCTTGCAGGTACAGTTCCTCTATTGTTTCCACCGGCTACGCCATCAACCAAACACAAAACTCAGAAAATAATCAACCTTCGTGCCCTAATTAAATTTCATCTTGCAGGTACAGTTCCTCTATTGTTTCCACCGGCTACGCCATCAACCAAACACAAAACTCAGAAAAGTTCGACGGTTTCTACGTTGATAAAGGGAAGTATCCTATTCCTATGTTATTCCAGTTTCAGAATTAGTCGAAATACCCTCTCTACCCACCCCCGTCCCACAGCCCCCATCCATCTGTCCCTAGTTCCTATTCTCCAAAAAATGAAGAATATGTTTTAGAAGTAAAAGAAGCAAAATCCTAAACCTCATCTGACAAATCCAATAGAAAAATAATCATTGATATGTTACAACTTGCACATCAGTTTCTTACTCGCAAATTTTCTCATTCCCACATACATCTTGAAATTAACTTACTCAAAGGCTCAATTCCTATTACTCTTAACTAATTTCTTTCATACGCAGAGAGCCCCAAGTTAAAATTCATTAAATTAATGCCTATTTTCAAGCTTGTATAAAATTAAATACTTAAACCAACAAAATCACACGAATATTAAATAAAACATTACAAAAAAAAAAATCTTAACTTTAAATATAGTTAATAGACATATGAGAATTAAGAAAAAAAAACCTGGAAGCAGTTGATGACTGCTTCCCCTTTATCGACGTAGAAATCGTTGAACTTTTCGAGTTCCTTGTTGAGATTCAGATCTGCAGCTCGACCAAATGCGCGGCGACGCCTTGCATCGATATCCGGCGGCGGGGATTAGCTCCATCTGGTAGGGTTTCTTCCAAATGTATTTTGATTTATTTCGAAAATACCAAATTTTGTTCAACAATCCCTATATATTATTATTTCTTTATCATTAATCAATTCTGTGCTTACTGGTTGAAAAGGATCGATTAAATACTGCGGTTTCTTAATTGAAAATCATCAGTATGAGTTTTTGAAAGTTCAATGTCGGCCTAAGCATGTTTGGCTTTTTGAAAATTATCATTTTTTTTTATTTTTTGGCAATTTGATTATATTTTCTGAAACTTACTAATTTACATAGAAGTAAAGATTAGGTCCTCCGAATTGCATCCTTCTACGTTGCTAAATTAAAATTTGAACTCATGAATGCTTGATCATTTCGTCCTTACAATTTAGATGTAAATTCTACACAATGATCTCGTACTAGATATTCTTATAAGAGACATAAGACAGAACAATCTGAAGAATTTTTACTTAATTGGAATATGGATCATCAAGAAACAATGAAATCATAATCGTGTTTTACATCAACAAGTATCATTTTGAGCAGAAGATTTTTATTTCTTAGCCATGTTTAGTACACATTCTTTCAAAAAACTCATTTTCAACCGCACATTCTTCAATAAAATAATATTTTTCTTCACATTAATAATTGTTCTTACTTTTTAACCACATATTTCTCATCGTCTCACTATTTAAAATACATTATTTTCTAAATAATATCCATCAAACATACCATTAATATACAAAACAAAAGTAT